ATTTTACATTATGATCTTTATCTTTGTCATAGTTAATATAAATTCATAAAACATTTATAAATAACAAACACATATATATACAAATTATACAACAATTTTAATTAATAAAATCATACACTAAGATATAAAATTATAAATACAAATTCCTAATTAAATACTAACTACAAGAAGGATACCACATATTTGTTGTATAATTTTAGTTGTTTTTTAAAATACTAAACTACAAGCAAATATTATAAATTTTATTAAAAGATTTTTTGCGTTTTGTGTCTTAAACTTAAATTTTAAAAAATTAAAATTTAATTTGAAATTTTTATGAAATATAAAAAAAATTAAGGGCTAAAACGATAAACAAGAAAATATTTATGAATTATATATTTTATTCGTAATTGTAAGGACCAAAATGCAATTAAAAATATGAAACTTCAAATTTAGAGTTTTGAGTATTAAAACTTCAAATATGAAGTTTCACTCCTCAAAACTTCAAATTTGAAGTTTTGAAGTTTTTTTTCGACAGCACAAAAAAAATCTATATTTGAAAGTTACAGAGTTTCTTTTAGAGATGCTTTTAGAGCATCTCCAAAAAGACTCTCTATTTTAAAATTTCCAAAACTATATATTTGAAGTTTCAAGGTATTTTTCTCCAAATGTAAAACTTTAAACTTAACTTCTAAGTTATTTTATATTTTACATTATGGCCTTTATATTTTTCATAGTTAATATAAATTCACAAAACATTTATAAATAACAAACACATATATATACAAATTATACAACAATATTAATTAATAAAATCATACACTAAAATATAAAATTATAAATACAAATTCATAATTAAATATTAACTACAAGCAGAATACCACATTCTTGTTGTATAATTTTAGTTTTATATTTTTAAATACTAAACTACAAGCAAATATTATGAATTTTATTAAAACAATTTTTGCGTTTTATGTCTAAAACTTAAATTTAAAAAAAATGTAGAATTTAATTTCAATATTTTATGAAATATAAAGAAATTTAAGGGTTAAAACAATAAACAAGAAAATATTTATGAATTATATATTTTATTTGTAATTATAAGAAACAAAATGCAATTAAAAAGATGAAACTTCAAAATTAGAGTTTTGAATATTAAAACTTCAAATATGAAGTTACACTCCTCAAAACTTCAAATTTGAAGTTTTGAAGTCTTTTTCGACAGCAAAAAAATTCTATATTTGGAAGTTATAGAGCTTTTTTTTTTTTTGTCAGCCGCCCATCTAAGCAAGATCAAGTGGTAGTGAGACGAGTCGATTCTCCGAGGAACATCTCCGTCTGTCCGGGTCTGATCTATATGGGAAAAAATATAGTCTATGGTCCTTGCTTCTTTTGTTAACGTTTCCGCTCGATCATTCCTACTCCGGCGAATATGAGCCACGCTCACCTCCTCAAAATCATCATGTAATCTCTAGAAGACCTCGATCTCTATCGTGAAAGTCAGCCAATCCACCGGGTTTGTAATCATGTCCAATAGGTCCGAGCAGTCCGTCTCAAACCGTATCGAAGTCATCCTTCTATCTCTCAAACATGAGGCTGCCCAAAGTAGGTCTTCCATCTCCGCATGCAAAGCTGAGAGGCTCCTTCTGTACGCCCGTAATCCCAAGATTTCTGAACCCATTTGATCCTTAACACTCCACCCTAAGCCACTGACACTGCCATTATCGATCCATGACGCATTAATTTGGCAAGTATGGATTCGGGGTATCCAAGGGGTTTCTTTTGGAGATGCTTTTAGAGCATCTCCAAAAAGACTCTCTATTTTAAAGTTTCCAAAACTATATATTTTTAAGTTTCAAGGTATTTTTCTCCAAAAGTAAAACTTTAAACTTAACTTCAAAATAATTTTATATTTTACATTATGGTCTTTATATTTGTCATAGTAAATATAAATTCATAAAACATTTATAAATAACAAACACATATATATACAAATTATACAACAATAATAATTAATAAAATCATACACTAAATATAAAATTATAAATACAAATTCCTAATTAAATATTAACTACAAGCAGAATACCACATTCTTGTTGTATAATTTTAGTTTTGATTTTTAAAAAAATACTAAACTACAAGCAAATATTAAAACTTTTATTAAAATCTTTTTGCCTTTTATGTCTAAAACTTAAATTTTAAAAAAGTAAATTTAATTTGAAATTTTTATGAAATATAAAAAAAAAATTAAGGGTTAAAACGATAAACAAGAAAATATTTATGAATTATATATTTTATTTTTAACTGTAAGAACCAAAATGTAATTAAAAGATGAAACTTCAAATTTAGAGTTTGAGTATTGAAACTTCAAATATGAAGTTTCACTCCTCAAAACTTAAATTTGAAGTTTTGAAGTTTTTTTCAACAGCAAAAAATTTCTATATTTGAAAGTTATTTAGTTTCTTTTGGAGATGCTTAGAGCATCACCAAAAAGACTCTCTATTTTAAAGTTTTCAAAACTATATATTTGAAGTTTCAAGCTATTCTTCTCTAAAAACAAAACTTTAAACTCTATTTCAAAATTATTTCTAATTTAAGTTATGGTCCTTATATTTTTCATAGTTAATATAAATTTATAAACCATTTATAAATAACAAACACACATATATATATATATATATATAAATTATACAACAATATTAATTAATAAAATCTTACACTAAAATATAAAATTATAAATACAAATACATAATGAACTATCAACTACAAGCATAATACATTCATGTTATCTATGATTTTTTTTAAAAATACTAAACGACAAGCAAATATTTTAATTTTTTATTATAAAATTGGTAGAATTTGCTTTATTGATGGTGCACGGAATGAACAAGATAGGTTCACAGGACAAGGATGGTTCTGCAGAACCTTTGGTTCCAATGAGAATATGATGGGGGCGATGAATCTCCGAAGAAGTTTATCAGCTTTACATGCCGAGTGTGAAGCACTGATATGGGCTATGGAGTGGATGAAGACCCTCAATTTTTCAAATGTAGTTTTCGCAATAGACTGTTCTCAATTGGTAAAGATAGTGTCATCACCTGAAGAATGGCCAGCTTTTGCTACACACTTGGAGGAGTTTCAGCGAATTAAGACTTTCTTTCCTACCTTCAAGATCCGACATATTCCAAGAGCTCAAAATCTAGTGGCAGACAAGCTTGCACGAGGTGCTAGGAGTTCCCCTTCTGCTATATTTTATATCAATTATATGCCTCCGGTCTGGTTTTCCGAATCGGGTGTGCATATATCATAGTTTAGTTTATATTGTTGTCAAAAAAAAATTATTGAGTTTTATGTCTAAAACTTAAATTTATAAAAAAAAATATTTGTGGGATATATAAAATTTTAAGGATTAAAACAATAAACAAAATATTATTTATGAATTATAAATTTAGTTGTAATTGGAAGGACTAAAATGCAATTAAAAAGATGAACCTTCAAATTTAGAGTTTTGAGTATTGAAACTTCAAATATGAAGTTTCACTCTTCAAAACTTCAATTTATTTTAGAGTAAGAAACTGTATATTTAAAATTATAGATTTCCTTTTAGAGATGCTCTTAGAAGAATTGTTTTAGAAAAGAATTTTTTTTTAATGATAGAAAGTAGAAACATATTTGTAATACATTGTATAGCTTATGAAGCGAAGTATATATCTTTATAAGAATCAGTTTTGTTTTTAATGTCTCACACTTTACATTATTTATAATAATGTTCTGTTCTATTTATTTATAGTAATATAGCAAGTATAAGTACGACTAGATTGAATTATTCTAAGTAATATAGCTAGGTCTGGGTGTTCGGGTACCCGTTGGCGTTCGGATCGGGTTTTTTGGATTTTCTGGTTTTCGGATTTACGCTCATAGGTCTCATTCTAATATTTTACTAGTACGGGTCAGGTTTGGATAATAACACTTCGTGTTCGGTTCAAATTTGTATTGCAGCATAAAACCCGTAAAGTAACCATATATCGTTCGGATTCGGGTTATTTCGGTTCGGTTCGGATATACCCGAAGTATAAAACAAAATTTCGAAACAAAAACATAAAGAAGAACACTGAAACTGAATATAAATTAATCATACATACATAAAATTGATAAAAATAAAAAAATGCTAAATCAGTCATTAAAACATACATCACTTGTAAACAATGTGCATTACCATACATAGAAACTAAATTTATTATTTTAATGAACAAATTACAAAGTGCTTATTTATAACTAATTATATATTTAAGGTATTTATTTATATTTTAATATTTATTCTATGTATCATATCAAAATAAAAATTAAACTGAATATCTAAAATATTTATATATATTTAAAATATTTATATTAACTATTAATTTCGGATATTTTGGATTACCCGTTCGGGTTCGATTAAATAACACTTCGGGTTCGGATTTTTTTATACCATCCTATAAGATCCGTTCGGGTATTTTTACATTTCGGGTCGGATAACGGATCAGATTTTTCGGTTAGGGTTCGGTTCGGATTTCGGGTTTCGGATTTTATGCCCAGGCCTGATTATAGCTAACTATTGTTGATGTTTTCATAATTTTGCAATTAATTATAAACTTCATAAAAATACATATTGGTTGTTTTAGTAAAGCAAATAACAACCAAATAGGAAATTTAAAATACCAGCACTGTATTTATTATGAGAACTGACTACGAAAATAGGAGCGTCTCGTGTCATTTTGATGGACTTTCTTTTTTTATTAAAATGATGTATTTTTCTTTATAAAACGAAACTCCTCTTTTGCTTCCTTCATTCACCTGGTTGTTGTTATCTCCACACAGAAAAATAAAATAAAATGAACAACTTGATTAGTTCTCTCGAACTCACATCTCTAACCTTTGAAGACCCATGGCCTGCTTTCTAGCCTAAGTTTTCTCGAGATTTTCGTTTTTCTTTCTTGAGTCTTTCTTCTTCATCATCTTCTTAAAAACGTTTTCTAAAAATCATGGGGACTGGAGAAAAAAACCTGAAAGGCTTCCACTTACTTCGCAAACAAACGGTCAAAAACAAAGATGTTCCAAAAGGCTTCTTAGCGATCAAAGTTGGATCACAGGGAGAAGAGCAACAAAGATTTGTAGTTCCTGTTTTATATTTTAACCATCCTTTGTTCATGCAGCTCTTGAAAGAAGCAGAAGATGAGTATGGATTCGATCAAAAGGGCACCATCACGATTCCATGCGAAGTTGCGGAGTTTCTTTACGTTCAAGATTTGATTGATGGAGAGAGATCGGTTAACCCTAACCATCATCAAAGACATAGCGGTCGTGACCAGTATCATCATCTTGTTGGATGTTTCAGAGCGTGAAGAATGATTAAGATAAATTGGTGATGATTAATGAATGAATGATTGTTTGTGTTTACGTTTTCGATCTTTTTTTGTGTGTGTGTTCATCTCGTGGAGTTGAGGAGCCAAAAGTGGCCTAACCCAAGAATGTTTTTCTTTAGTTTCATGGAATTTTAAGATCAAATAAATTTAATTTCTGATTTTTGATTGAAGACAATCACCAACATTTAAGCTACCACAGAAGATGTCTTTTCAAAAATTTGTCATTTCCTTCATTATTGGAAATTTTCAATTGTTATTTAGTCAAGAAACGTAAAACTCTGAGGTAAGTATATGAAAGCAATATCCCCAAATATCGGAAAATAATTTTGAGTTGCAAAGATTCAACTTCAGCAAAAGTCTTTTAACACACGATTTTTTTAGGTTTATGAAGGGTTCATAAATAGTTTAGTACCCATTTTTAGTGGAAGCTTCATAAACAAAAAAAAATTGCATTTAGACTTCATTCGTAAAACTAGATAATTAAGCACAAATGTGGTATTTTATCAAAATTTTGTGACAGAAATCAATTTCATTTTAATCAGTATAGAAAAGGAAAGATTCTCACGTCCTTTTTTCGAATAAAAAATATCTCCTCTTATCTTCCCACTGTAACGGTTGGTCCAAAAAAGCATTCAATTACATTTGACTTTAAAGTTGACTATGTAGTCTGATACAAAGTGAAGTAAATAGCAATACATCTTCCAATGTTTGCAGGTGAGTTATGGATTCTTCAGAGTCGTTACTCTCATTCGTTTCCAAACCCTATTTCACCAATCACACTCATCCACCACACACGCACAAAACTATACTCCATCCATTCCAATTAAATAGTTATAGTAGAATGAAATTTTCATTTCAAAATAAGTACTCTCTCTGTTTCTTTTCGTAAGGTGTTTTGGTTGAATGCACGAAGATTAAGATAGTTACCTTCTTTTTAAAAGTATTTTTGGTGATGTACTTTCAAAATCATTCAATCAATTATAAAAAATACTGAAAATTTTTATTGGTTGAACAGTTTCCAATAAAGTTAAAGTTAACCTTAAAACTTCAAAATATATCTTCAAATTTCAAAACATCTTATATTTTGAAACAACATAAACCTTGTAAAACATCTTATAAAAAGAAATGGAGGGAATATTTTTTGTTGAAATCCTTTTAATTTAGTGGGTTGACTAAAAATTCATTAATGTTTATATATCAGAAATTCTGGATTTCAAATCTCAAAAAGACAAAATTATGTGAATTAATAGAGAAAAAACTTACAAAAAAATTGGTTGTACTCCCTCTGTTTCAAAATGTTTCATGTTTTAACATTTTCACACTTATTAAAAAGTTATTAAATTTAAGTTACCAATACACTATTTTTGTAATTAACTATTTCCAAAAATTTTTAACCAATAGAATTTTTAAAAATACATTTATCTTTTTGGAAGTTTACAATTTACCATTAATAAGTGCAATGAAAATGTAAAAATTGTAATTTTTTAGATAAATTGTTTTTTTTTTAGAATATGGATCTATTTGAAACAGAAGGAGTATTCGCAAGAAGTATGATCAAACATGAATCTCATATGACAGCTCTATAGTGCAGTTACACATGATTCCACATAAATCAAGTATAATTATCGGCTGTAAAATTGTCTGTAATATTTCTCGTAATTTATAATAACATAATTGTCTAGATTTATGATTTCATTGTAAAATTTATTAACGTTATAGATTATTCAATTTTTATTGGTTGAAATGTGGTTAGATTTATAACTAATGATCTTTTTATTAAATTATGTAAAATTAAATATTTTATTAATTTATGTACACAAACATAAAATGAAAACTAAAATGAAAGAGAATAAGACCAATCAAGTATTTTTGTAACTCCATCCATTTCAGAATGAGTACGGTTTGAGGTTTTATGTACTAATAAAAGAAAAATAATAACTTTTCTGTATTACCATTGTTTAATACACTTTTGGTTCATTAATAAATTAAATATATAAATGTAAAAACTGGAATGTTCCATTAAAAATGTAGACCAACATTTCTAATGAATTGAATTTTAAAAGCTAAAATGATATTTAATATAAAACATAGGAGAACTAAAATATTTTCTTACATGATTAAATTTATAAAAGTACCAATTAGTATGAGTAATTAAAAAGTTTAATTGGTATGAGTAAGCTAATTTTTTTAAAAGACCTATACTTGTTATATATCTATATCTATATATATATATATGTTTATATATTGCTTCTAGAAAGTAAAAGGGCCTTGTAGTTGTAGATTCCGTGTATTCCGTAGACTAATGGGTACGAACAAACCCACTCATCTCACTATCATAATTTGTGATAAATGGTCATGATTTGATTGTCGGCAGCACTCCCGAAAAAGGAAAGGCTTAGCTTTTTTTTGAGCTTTATCTTATCATTAACTATTTTCTTTCTTTTTCTATTATATGTTTTAGAAGGTTTATGTTGTTTTAAAATATAAAATGTCTTAACAAGAGATTAATTAGTTCAAATTATCCACTTGTATACGGAGGTGAACGAATGAGAGTAACGATTTATCATTGCATGGGAGAAAGATTTTAGTAGGTTAAAGGTAGAAGTTGACTCTAAAATGGTGGTTGATTTTTTCACAATGGGAATTGGCGAGAATCATCCGCTGTCTTTCATGGTGCGACTGTACCATGGTTTTTAACAAGAGACTGGTTAGTCTGAATCGTTTATGTGTAAGAGAGGCAAACTACTTAGCTGATGGTTTGGCCAGCTTTGCATTTTCTTTTTTCATTTGGTTTTCATAGATTAGACACTTCATCTGTTGATGTTGTTAGTCTTTTGTAAGAAGATGTCAATGGACCTCTACGGCCTCGACGTGTTCGATTGTAGTTTGAAGTTTTTATACTAGTAAATATTAGGAGTTCTTTTTTTTCAGTTTCCTACGAAAAAAAAATATAAGATGCTTTAAGATTTTAAAGTACGTTTTGAAGTTTTAAGGTTAATTTTAACTTTATTGGAAACTATTCAACTAATAAAAATTTTTAATATTTTTTTATAATTGATTGAATGATTTTAAAAATATATCATTAAAATACTTTAAAAAAAAAATAAATATCTTAATCTTGGTACAATCAACCTAAACACCTTATAAAAAGTCGGAGGGAGTATTGTTTTATAACTTTTCATTTCATTTTTAATTTTTGGTGTGTATGAATCGCATACTATTAGATTATAAAATTGCTGATAATGTTCGTCAAGTTATGAATCAGAACCATACTAGTTAAAATATCAAAACAACACTAACGTTTTTCATTTGACAAATGTTGGTCAAAATCATATTTTCATAACAATATATTGCAAAAATGAGTGCAATTCATCTAATATATTGCAAAAATGATTGAAATTGATCTACCTTATGAACATTTTTTTCGGTGTTTTATGTACCTTCAATTTAAACTCTAAAATATGATAAAGAGAAGACAAAAGAAAACGATGAAAATACCCCTTACGTCTCTCAGAAGTCTATAATAAATCTTTTTTGATGAAAAATAAATAATAGAAGAAAAAAAACTAAAAAAAAAAGAACTAGCGAGGTCTAGCGTGAGCAGCACGAAGAGTAACTCCATGCAAGAACTTAGTGAACCCTAAGAAGCTCAGCTTCCCGTCACTACTCCTTACCCACTCTCTCAAGTGCCCGTACGCAGACGCACCCACATTCAGTTCCTGTTCCAATAACCGGTTTGCAATTTAGATCCCAAGAACAAGACCGGTTCTACGAATAAATAGGATTAAACATCATTCATTCATTTTTTTTTTGTTTGAATGAATTAAACATCACTCATTACCCTTGCTAGCTCTTCGATTGTGATCACTCGGTTTCCCTCTGTCTCAAAATGCTCAAAACCAGCGGCTGCAATCTCATCCCAAGCTTCAACAGCTTCTAGTTGATGTATGCTTATCGCTGCTGCACAAAACTCTTCGAAGTACATCTTTCTATACGCTAGAGATTCCATCTGCCAACACACACATCCATTTTTTAAAACTCATGTTCTGAACGAGTCAAAGAAAGAGATTGATTGTTCTCTCACCATGTTAAGAATTTCAGGAACTCTGGATTCTCTCATTGCGTCTGTTGCATTCTGCATAAGCGCCTGCGAAAAATGAGCTTATTAAAATCGATGTGACCATGTTTTTTTAAAACCAAGAGCCTTTCTTACCATCTTAAAGTTTTCTAGAGAGACGCTTCCATCTTTATTTGGTCCCAAGAGCATGAACTGTGCTCTAAGATAGACTAGCTCGTTCTCTGTCAATGCTTTTGCGAGAGCCTGTATTAAGTTTTTGGAAAAAATCACTGCTTCAAATTTTGTAACTCAACTCTAACAAATCTGAAGAGAGGTGTTACCTTTAAAGCAGCCCGTCTAAGAGGTGTTGCGTGCAAATAGGCTTTGACCAACTTATAGATCAGAATATCTAAAGGAATCGCACGACTCTCATCTCGTAACCATGGATGAGCTGAATATAAGAAATAAAACAGACCATTAGTTTTGTGATTGTAGTTTTAGCCATGTGAATATGGAGAAAGAAAGAAACTGACTCAAAGCTTGAACTGCAGACATTCGTTTCCTATAGTCTTTGTTGAGAAGACGTTTCACAAACTCTTTGCCTTCCGGTGAAACAGATGGCCAAGGTAAGTCATCGTAGTTTGGTTCACTCCTTAGCACAGTGCGAAAGATTCCAGATTCTGTGCGTGCCCAGAAAGGTCTGCTTCCACATAAGAGTATATATGTAATAACTCCAATGCTCCATATATCAGCTTCAAGGCTATATGATCTGTGTAGAACTTCAGGTGCCACATAGTATGCGCTTCCAACTATATCATTCAGTCTTTCATCTGCACAAAACTCACTATTAGTCTGCAGTTAAAAAAAAAAAAAAAAAAAAAAAAAAAAAAAAA